TATTGGATTTTTGTATACCTGAATGAAGATTGGCTTCTTGAGCTACACTTTTCCCTAGAATGTCCTTTTCAATTAACTTCACATAGAAATTGTGGATGATTATTATGGAGAGTTTCCAGTTATTCACAGGAAAATAATTTCCAGTCCAGATTTGTAAGGTACCCTGACACTGGGACCACGGGTTTGTCCTCCTCAGCTAAGAATAGGGAATGGAGCAATTAAATTAGACCTGATAGATTACTTTTTTCTGAATTGGAAACTACACAGATTCTCAACAGTTATATTATATATATATATATATATATATATATATATATTTCTTGATCCTCTCTCAAGAAAGAAATAGACAATGGAAAGTAGAAGGTAGTTGAAATGTAGGTATACAGAAAAGCATAGAAATAGATATGAGAAATAAGGAAATATTATATTTATATTGCATGAAATACTTTTATATTACAGTATATTACATATAATATTCTAAATAATATTTATAGATAAAATATAAAATAAATAATAATAGATAATATTTATAATATATAATAAATATATTATAAATAATATATAATATTTATATATCAATAGGAATATAATATATATTATATATATTTAAATGTAAAATATATATATTTATAGAAAATCTAGTTCTAATAGAATTCTAATAGAATTCTATCTATTTATAGAAAATAGAAATCTAAATATTTATAGAAAAATATATAAATATACAATATAAAAGTAAATGGAAGTATAAAACTGTTAGGTTGTTTGTGGTGAGTATTGAAAGGAAGAAACAAATATTTTTTGGGGTGTCTTTACAATCATCCACTTGACTGTAGCACTGCTGGGCTAACACTCACCTGGTGATAAATTGATAAATTCCTGGCTGTGGGGAATATTTCACACGTAGCATTTGGGTGACAAATTAACCCTGGGGATGAGTGTGGGCTGTAATAAACTTTCACTGAACTGAAAATGTAAGGCTGTAAGAAAGCATGTTAATTCACAGTTCTGCTTCCTGCTCCAAAGTGCGACTGAGGGAGGCTTGAAAAAATGTTTTCTTCTTTAATAAGGAAAGAGAAACACAACGGAGAGCTCCATGTATGAAGTCACCCTGCTCTCTGTTACTCACTGCCATTATCTCTGCTGCAATCTGCTCCCAGAGGAGCTCCCAGACAACCCTGGGAGCTTATCCCTGTCTGAGAGTTACTGAAGAGAATAAAATAACAATTATGGTCCAGAGGGAGGGAACGGTGGTGTGAGAGTCTGGGGCTGGATGGAAATCCTTCCTGCGTGCAGGAGGCAGAACAATGTGCCATTGTGTGTGGGGAGGGCGGCCATGGGGAGCCAACACCTGGAGCCATGGCTGAGGGGAGCTGCCCCATCATAACTCACAAATACAGCCTGAAAGGCAAGAGCCTGAGGTTATTTTATCCAGACAAAGCCCTTGTGCTGTAAGCACTGAAAGAAAGTGGATTTCCTGTCCATCTGCCCGGAGGAGCTGTGTGGATCCAGCAGGCAGAGCCCAGTAACTCATGCAGACATGTATCACTGTGATATTTTCTGAAAAATCCCTTTGCCAGGATTTCTACGCCTGGCAAGATGAGAAGCCTCAGCTTCCCAATGTTTTGCTCCTCTGGAATGTGATTTGGAGAAGAGTTTACCCAGCATGTGAATTGTTTTTAATAATGGCCAATCACAGCCAGCTGTGTTGGACTCTCTGAGTCTGTCAGAAGTTTTTATTATCATTCTTATCTTTTATTATAATTCTTTTATTATCATTCTTTTTCTTTGATGTCTCCTTTATCTTTCTTTAGTATAGTTTTAGTCTATAATTTTCTTTTAATATAATATCAAACTATAATAAATTAGCTTTCTGAGAACTTGGAGTCAATTCTCATCTCTCACCTCATCCTGGGGACCTTCACCACAACAGACGCTTCTTGGAAGGGCTCTGCTTTTTCCTCAAGGGAAGGGAATTATTCAAAATATGAGATAGTGGCTGATGGAACTTCATATGAGCACTGCTAGAGGTGGGGGAAGAAAGTGGGGTGATTGAAAAATGGTGTTCTGTAAAATGCCCTGATTTGTTGTGTGTGCTTGTTTCCATGCATAGGAAATCCTACAGGAAGCAGGATTTGTAATGTAGAATATATCCCAGTCACAATCTCTGGCTGTGAAGTGTTTGCTAAAGGGCTCTCTTGTTTCCCAGAACTGGAGGGTTTGGCTCCTTAATTTTTCACTGTGAGGGAGGTGAGGCCCTGGCACAGGTTGTCCAGAGAAGAAGTTGTGGATGCCCCATCCCTGGAGACATTCAAGGCAACACTGGACTGGTTTTGGGTTATCTTTGGAGTTCAAGGAGCTTCATTGACTGGAAAAATCCCTGGATTAAAGCTGTGGAATGGCCTGGAGGAACTGAGGACTAACAACAGAGGAGTCAGGGGATACAGAACCTGTAAAATAAATCAGGGCCTCTGCTCCATTGGCATCTCGCTAGACAGATAAAGAGTCCATAAAGCCTCTGACTCTAAGGAAAACACTTCTCTTGCTCCATTTAGAAGAAGTAAACAGACATAAAGGGCTCCAGCACACATTTTTGTGTTTGTACAGATATCCCCGTTCCCTGTGGGCTGTTTGCACTGGCAAAGTCTCAGTGCCCTGCTTGCCTGTGCTTCCTGAGGAACTCCTGCCAGACTCCTCTGATGCTGTGGGGTGACTGTGTGCTCAGATTATTTATTGACAAAAAAGGCACAGAAAACGTTGCCAAACATCCCCAGGTAGCTTCCCTCTCTTCTGAGAGGAGAGTCCAGCCTGATGTGTATTTCTGACAAAAATAATTGCAGGCCAAAGACTTTGCTCCCAGACAACAGGACTTCCCTGGGAGATTCTTGGCACCAGAGGTTCAGAGGTCAAATGCTTTGATGTCAGCAGTGAAATGCTCCTTCTCAAAACACTAAAATCTTAGAGTGAGCAGATGGTTTAATGAAGAAACTGCCTAAGCACAAGAAGATCTCACAGGTGACTCAGCTTATTTCTCAAAATTCAGAGCAAAAGTAGTTTAGGAGCTGTAATTGTGGGTACAGACTGAGATCCCATTGATTAATTTTTAAGTAAATCAGGATTCATTATGCTACCATTGACAGCTTCATTGAAAGGGAAGATTTATTAGCCCCTCATCTGGGTGAGGAGCTGGTTTTGGTTTATGTGAGTAGCCAAGAGCCCAAAGGTTTTCATCTCCAAAGAAGCTGCTCCTGCAGGTTGCAAACTCTAACCCCAGTGGGGAGGAGGTGATGTACAGTGATAAATGTGCAGTGATCAATGTACAGAGATAAATGTACAGTGATCAATGTACAGTGATAAATGGCTGAAGAGGTTACAAGGATAGAAGTAAAGAAGAACTCCTGCTCCGTGGTGGTTTGTGTCCCAGGAGAAAAGGGTAGGAGATCTGAGCACCAGAGCTCTTCACAAAATACTAAAGGTTGCTTTAGTCTCTGCCAAGAGTTTAGTCAGAAATGTAATCAGAAGGGAGAAAGGTTCAAGAAGGAAAGCCAAAGACATTTTCTGTTCTTAAACAGAAAACTTCTACAGTAAACTTCATCTCACCTGTGCATGAGCAATTTTTTTAGCCAACAGGTTTTATGTCAGCTGAGTACTGAGATTATTGTCCTGTTTCTGACACTGAGTGTTTTAACAAAAAGAATGATGTTCTACCATTGTCCACCCTTCTCAGTGCTGCAGAAACTGGGATCTGACCATAAATCCCTGTCTGAACCACCTTCCATTTAAATATCTATTACAAGGAAGATGTTTGAGGGTAATTTTTCATTATCACAAAGATATGAAGACACAGGGTGTCCTGGTTTAGGGGTAGGTCTAGCCCAGAGAGAGAACATGCACAGCCCTAAATGCTATAACTGATTATATAGTAGTTAGTTATTATATCCACAGAATTTACATGAGGCCCTATGTGAGATATCCCTGATGCTCTTTTCTTAGTTTATTTTTTTTTTAGGGGCAGAGGAATGTTGGCATTTTGTTTTATGTAACTGCTGTTTTTTGATAAAGTGAATAAGAGCAAATATGGGAAATAATAAAAGTAAGTGCAGTATGGGAAACCAGACACCAACCTAATTAACTTCCTCAGTGCTGCTCAAACTGCTCAAGTTACTTTCACTTTAAATAATTTATTTTTTAAAATAATTACTATTTTAAATTGGTTTTGCACAAATATTTGCTCTAAATTGTTGATTTTTTTCGTCCATCAGAGATTGGAAATGTTGAGAAGGAATGTAATGTACGTTTTTTCTTAGTACATACAGTAAGCAGCTGTTTGAAAAGAATACAACATCCTTGTTTTTTTAAAAAATGATATTTATCAATTTTGAGGTCTTTTACAAGTGGAATTACCACTAACAGCTTTATAAACATATAATCCAGATATACAAATTTGTACCCACTATATCTACAGTTCACATGCAACCACAACAGCATCAGAGTAAGGTGAAAGGCTGGAGCTGCAAATAATGGTTACCTTTGAAATATTTAAACCAAAGTTTCAGTATTCTCAAGGGTCATAATGTGGTACACTAGTGTAAAATTCTGCTTAAAATATGGCATTAGAGATGAAACAAAAGGATGTAAGAAATGGGAGCAGGCTTTATGCTTTTCTAAATCATCATAATTTGATACACCATAAATTTTGGTTGAAAGTGGGGATAATTTAAAGTGGGAATGTTCTCAAGTGTTCTTAAAACTTCTGGTGGTGCTGTGGCAGTTTATTGGAAAACTTGAAACCAAAATGGGGATATTTTAGCTGTTGTGTTGAGAGTTCAATCCCTGCTGGGACATTTGGTAAAGACTGCTTTGAAAAAATACTTGAAACTGAGATCTAGGAATTTAATTTCAGGATTTACAGTAAGCGTGGAAGAAATCTCCCACTGAAACTGCTGCCATCAACAAGGCACTGACCTTGTTGGACTCTCTTCTGAAACTGGTGAGCAGATTTCTGTGTAAATCTATTTTTAGTCTCACATTTTATTTTGTGATCTTATTGTCTATTCATACAGGTGTCCAACTCATTTTGCAAGAAAAATCAGTGACTATCAAAGGATTTATTTCTCTCCGAGTAGGGCACAGGGAAAATGTGCATTGTCAAGTCCAAATGCAGACTGAACAGGTGTGACCAGGGGAAGCCTGGATGAGGACAGAGCTGCATATTCTGACTAAAAATCTGCATTTTCTGGATGTTTGAGAGTCTCTACAACATTATTCCTGTTTTATATTCAGTGTTTGTTGCTGTTTTTTTTTTTTCTGTAGACACATCTGTGGTAGTAAGACAATTCGAGAGACAAAAATCAAACCCATGCTGTCCTTTGGCTTTTTTTCCCCTTGTGCTCTTTAATTGCCTCTGTAACCTCACTGCGTAGCTGATTTTAAGCAGTTTGCACCCACATTCCAACCAATGATTTTCTCCAAACTCGTCTCCCGTTGCTGCAGGGATTACTCAGAGCTGGGGGAGGCAGCAGAGTCCACATCCTCTGTGTCATGTTCGTGTGAGGGCACTGCTTGCCCACCTTTAACACGTTTCCACTTCATTCTTCTGTTCTGAAACCATACTTTGACCTGGGTGATAAAGAGAAAATAATTACTTGTTGCCCTCAGCCCGAGCTGTATAAAGCATATGGGTGTAGAGAGAGGATTCGTGGAATTCTAGAAGAGAAGGTGAACAGAGTTTGACTAATCCATCTCTCTAATACAGACTGCAACAATTATTTCTAAAATGCTCCACACAGATGTTCCTCTGAAACCCTCAAAGGTAGTACAAGTGCTTTGCTAGAATCTGGCACAAATAAGGCACAGTGCCTCTCATGTATTTTTAACATCTAGGCCACTCAATCTAATGTTTCAGGAATTTTAATTTGCCTCAGCACAATTCTTCTGCTGCCCTCTTAGCCTTGGAAACCTGGACTGAGATGACAATGAGAGAACAGAATAACCTCTGTACAAAACTCTGTAGAATTGTCTTTCCTTATAAAAAGGAAAAAAATTCCACCTCAAAATACCACCTGACCCAGGAAGAATGCACATATCAAACATTCATTCCAATAATTTCCTGTTAGTCAAAGTCTAAGGTGATATCCGTATTCCACATGTAAACCTTATGTTCAATATGCACCAATAATTGGTGGTAAACAAGAACTCAGCAGAGGCCAGTTATTACCAGGGCTATCTTCAGCTGAGAGAAACATAATTAAAATATTAACTACTTACAGAAATATGTAATGAAGGTGTCACAGACATATTTTATGAAAAATCCTTTCATTAGGATCTTTTCTCCTGGGAAGCTGAGAAGCTTCAGCTTCTCCATGTTTTGCTGCTTTGGAATGGGATTTGGAGAATTGTTTACCCAGCATGTGAAATTGTTTTTAGTTGATGACCAATGACAGCCACCTGTGTCGAGGCTGTGAGCAGCCACAAGATTTTATCATCATTCCATTCTTTTCCTTGCTAGCCTTCTGATGAAATCCTTTCTTCTATTCTTTTAGTCTAGTTTTAATATATCATTTTCTTTTGATATAATATATATCCTAAAATAATAAATCAGCCTTCTGAAACGTGGAGTCAAGATTCTCATCTCTTCCCTCATCCTGGGACCCCTGAGAACACCACCACAAAAAAGGTGTTGAAAGAATGTGGAGGCTTGGTTTTAAAATACCTCTGTGCCATTGCAAAAGCAGACCCTGAGTGACATAATCTGGTTTTTAGCATTAGGGAGAAGTTGTGGGGGAGGAAGGAGGAGCTGGGGAGGGTTTGGGGTTTGGGAAGTACTTGTCTTTCGGTGAGATCCAGGTTCACAGCTATCTCGTATCTCCTGAGCCTTGTCAAGTAGTTGTGGTGGGCAAATTCAGCTTCCAGCTCCCTCAGCTGCTCCTTGGTGAAAGCTGTCCTTTCCTTCCGTGATCTGCTGCTGCTTTCTGCCTTATTGCTGGAGATCTGGGTCTCTAGGAGGCAAGCACACTGCTGTGATTTGGGGTTA